CCGAATTTCAAACAAATCCTAAGATACCCTAATTCAAACAAATCCCAACATTAAAATTTTCATTTCACAATCAACAAACACAAACTAACAATCAAATAATCCTTAATTCAAACTAACCATCAAAAACCCCCAAATCATTCACTTACTAACTAACAATCACTCAAACTAACAATCAATAAAAAAAAAACTAATTCAATACACTAATTAACAAATTCAATACTCAAATTGAAAGAAATTAAAAAAATATATTATGAAACCCTAACCTTCAATTAAAGGAGAAGGGAAGTGGATCGAGGTCGGGGTCAGTTGGCCGGAGATGTTGTTGCTCTCTTTGCCGGCTGCTGATGTTGATTGCTTGGAGCTCGCTGGCCGAAGCAGTTGAGGGAGAGACAGAGCAGCGAGCTTTCGCTAATTGGAGAGACAAGAGAGAGGCGGCGATTTGTCTCGCCGTTCTCTCCGGTGAGAAGATACGGGAGGGAGCAAGGAGAGAAGAGATGAGAAGAGGAGGGCGGCGGGAGGAGGGCGACGGGAGGAGGAGGGCTGCTTGAGAGAGAAGAGATTAGAGGGTTTGGTCATTTTTTAGGTTAAAAATAGGAAGGTTAGGTAGATTTAATTTGAGCCATTAGATTAGTTAAGATGAGCGGCTAGGATTTGATCTAGGATTCACTTAAAGGATGGACGGGATTTGGACAAAAAGGGTTATAATTGCAATGAATGAATGAATGGCTAAAATTGCAACTAAAATTGATATAAGAGGCTATAATTGAAAAACGAAATTGGATTGAGGTGGCTAGAATTGCAATGAATTGAATAAGGAAAAAGCTAAAATTGAAAGGAATTAGATTAGAATGGGCTAAAAATTAAATGATTTCGAGAAAAATTAAAGAAATGCTATCCAATTAAAATACTACAAATATTATAACATTTTATATAATAAAAATCACTTAAATTTTAAAACATTTGAATAAAATAATTATTCCGAGTTTTACTTATAATTTTAAAAATATTTACGATAATTTTATAAAGCATGCAAACTAAAATATATAATTTTTAGACAAAATCGATTAAAAATTTAAAATCGGAATATTTTTTAAAAAACACGTATTTAACCAAACAGCACTTCCGAAAGGGTTATAGGTCTGTCAAAATTGGGAGTCAACATACCGACATCGTGAAGTCGATATTATCTAAATAAAATAATTATTTAAATATACCGACCTCTTTAGGTCGGTATTTATTAATTTATTTTAATATAAACTCACCTTTTGAGGTTGATTTTATTAATTAAAATTACATATACATATACATATACATATACATACATACATACATATACATATACATACATACATACATACATATATATATATATACATATATATATACATATATATATATATATATATATATATATAGGCCAAACACATATACAGCCCCTCAAACTTGTCCTCATTTGTCATTTTGGCACTCCAACTTAGCCTTGTTCCATTTTAACCCTTAAACTCCATTTTTTCTGTACCATTTAAACACTTATACTAATTTTTATGATTTGTTTTTATTTATGTTCTTCAATTGCAATTTCTTATTTTAAAAAAATAGACGTGTGCTTGTTAATTAAAAAAATTAAACATTCGCGAACGAACATAAAAATTTTCAAACAATAATATTATTTTTTGATATTTCTCTGTATTTTTGCATGAAAATAAATTGACGAAAGTTCTTTGATTTTCTTTCTTAAACATTCAATCAAATTAAATAACACTACTTATTTATTTTTTCTTATCATCTAGGCTATCTAAATTTAACGCAAATACTCACTTTTAATTTTTAATATAAATCAATACGAATAAAAAAACCCATCTTCAAAAAGACTCGACTGACTTAGTTAATAACACCACTAAAAAAAGACTCTTGTTCATTGCTAATAACACTACTAAACAATGTTAAAACTCGACTGACTTTGTTAGGTTGTCAGTGATTTTAAAGAAAGAAAACCAACACAATTTCGTCGGTTATTTTTCACACAAAAATACATAACATTCTTAAAAAGAAATTATTATTTTTTAAAAAGAATTATTTTTTGTTAATTTTTAATTTTTTAACTAAAATTAAATGACACATGTCGATTTAAAATAAGAAGTTGCAATTGAAGAATATATATAAAAATAAATAAATCATAAAAATAGTATTTCGTGTTAAAATGGAACATAAAAAATGGAGTTCAAGGGTTAAAATGGAACAAGGCTAAGATAAAGTGCCAAAATGAAAAATGTGGACAAGTTAGAGGGGTTGTATATGTGTTTGGCCATATATATATATAAAATTTAACTACACATCAACAAAATTTTAATTTAATAAATTTAATTTATCGATCAAGTTAATTTTATAAATTTAAATTATATACCTTCTCATTATATAAATTTAATTTTATTGATCAACAAAAGTTTATCAATATCAAATTTAATATATAAATCTCCTTGAATTGATCATCGGTATTTCTTTAATTGATAATGTATTTCATAGCTGAACCACTAATATATAAGACTTGATTTGTTAAACTACTCGAGGAATATATATATAATTAATCAATGTATTTCATACTCCGATGAAGTATCCTTTACATGTCATCATAATTAGGAGGTGATCACTACACTTGACATCCATTCAAGATCAAACGTATATAATAATACTATCTCGCATTTCATACTGGAATGGATTATATGTTAGCTCTTCACCTCTACTACATCATGACATGAGATATTAAGTTTATGATTAGACGACGGACTGATAGGATTTGTACATTACTCTATAAATATAAGTATAATTATCTCCTAATTCATAACAACGGTTTCATACTCTAAATATGGATTATAGATATTTTTTTATTTATTTCACGAATTCTAACATTTTATTTGTAAAAGTATACAAAATTGTTACACTTTTTGAACAATTAATCGTAGGTGTAAAATGAAATTTTAATATTATGCACAATAGCAAAATTATGATTAATAGGAATATTTTAAACATACCGACCTCCGGATGTCGCTTTTATTAAAAGTAATTAGATATAATAAAAAATACTGACCTCATGAGGTCGGTATCACATTAAATTTTAAGATAAATAAAAAGTAATCATGTTAATTAAATAATATTGACATCGCGAGGTCGGTATTTTATATTAAATTATTTTTTAACTTATATAAAACTGTCATTCGGAGGACGATTTATTTAAAGTTAATTGAAAATATTAATTTATTACATACTATTTAATTTTACCGACATCTGGAAGTCAGTATTATAATTTTTTTTGTTTTTTATTTTACACAAAACCATTCTCCGGAATACGATTTAAATAAAATTAAATCAAAATATTTCTCAATTTTTTTTATATGGAGAAATGGGGAAAATCGCGTCTGCTAGTGCAGATATTTTTAAAAAAGCGACGGACAACGTCTCTATGTCCGTCGCTTTTTAAAAAAATTGATTGACCAACATTTTGACCAAAAAGCGACAGACTAAGAGACATTGTCCATCGCTTTCTTAAAATATTTGACCAGATATTTTGACCAAGAAGCGACGGACATAAAGATGTTGTCCGTCGCTAATTTAAAAAATAATTAAACAATTAAAATTAATAAAAAGCGACGGACGGCGTGACTTTTTTAAAATTAATAAATAATTATTTTTAATAAAAAGCGACGGACGGCGTCACTATCTATATAAAATAATTAATTAGCAAAAAAACGCGAAAAAAAGCGACGGACTAAGCGATGCCGTCCGTTGCTTTTAAAAAAAATTATTCTTTTTTTAATTAAAAAGCGACAGACTAAGAGACCCTGTCCGTCGCTTTTTAAAAATGTTTGACTAGATATTTTGACCAAAAAGCGACGGACTAAGATATGCCGTCCGTCGCTTTTTTTAAAAACTAATTAATAAAATAAAATAAATTAAAACGACGGACAGCGTGGTTATTGTTTAATTTATAAATAATTATTTTTAATAAAAAGAGACGGACGATGTCTCTATATATATTAAATAAATTATTATTAATTAGATATATATTTAGCACAAAAATCCGTAAAAAAAGCGACGGACTAAGAGATGTAGTCCGTCGCTTTTTGTAAAATAATTTTAAAAATAATTATTTGAATTAAAAAGCGACGGACGACATCTCTTAGTCCGTCGCTTTTTTGGAGCGACGCTGTCCGTCGCTTTTTCTTCCGTCGTTTTTTAGTGGTGAGTTGTTCTAGAAACAGAGAACTTGGAAGCGAGGGTTTCTATAATGGTGGTGTTCGGGCCAGTGTACACGCACTTCAACTATTCTCCAAGTACCTATGACCTTGCATCAATATAAGTATCGGATAACTTTTCCATCAAGTTTATGCAAATGGGAAGGAATCACCTAATTCTATGGGTAGCGGATAACTCTATCCGCCAAGAATAGATAGATGCAAAGAAATCAAAGTGCTTTTGCTTTTGTTAATATTTGAACTTAAGACCTCATGGTTATCAACCCTTTTCATTGACCACTAAGCAACAATATTTTGTACAAATTAAAATATAATCTTTCTTTTTTGATTAGGTAGTAATATTAGAAGGCCAAGGATTAGAACTAATTTGATGCATAGATTTCATATTTCACACAAGTCTATGAGAGAACATTGAAGGAAAATATACAGATTTTTATTGTTTGACCAATTTTCTTAAACTTTGTGTCAAGCGGAACACGGGAGTACATTGCTATTGGATGTTATTTCCACAATAAGAAGCTTCTTAGAAGATACTATTTTACCTTCATGATGCAAATACGATTCCTCTTATTTTAAGCCATCAAAACACTTAACTTCCCCATGTCTTCAACTGATCAGCTAGAATTCAGGATTACTTACAGTTATGCAGCAAATTAAGTGTCAACTAGTCATGTTGAACAACCAATAGTTATTCAGCTATATTACAGGAACAATTAAGCAAATGTCGCTTCTACAGGAAATAACAATGACCTTAAACTTTATCTCCTATCTGACATCTAGTTGTGTGATGCTTAATTCATTGACAGAAGTTTTGCCGTGCTTGCTAGATGAAGTGTCTGCTTCAGTGGATTGGCTTCTTCCATTGAAAAAGCCTGGCTCTTTAGGCAAGGGTAGTGCAACATCACTACCCAACATGAGCACAACTGACGCCATACTCGGCCTATCTTCTGGACACTGCTGCACACATAATAGACTTACATGGGCTGATCTTTGAACTTCAGACTGATTGCATGACTGCCTTAGTTGTGCATCTATTACTTCCATAACCCTGCTTTCTTTGAAGAGGATCCAGACCTGAATATTTGATATTATGCAGTTAGATGCTATAAGTTTTATATTACTTAACATATAAGATAGACAAGAAGTGCTCTTACATGTCCTAGAAGATTATGGTTATGGTCTGGATGGAAGAACCCTCTATTTCTCTTCCTGCTTAAAATCTCCAATACTAGAACTCCAAAGCTAAATACATCTGATTTCACTGAAAATTTTCCTTCTTCTGCATACTCCGGAGACATGTAACCACTGTGGAATAATGTCAAATAAACAAAGTTATAAGTAGCTTTTTAGTATACTGCAAATATTTCATTGGTTTAAAGATTATTACTATGTCCCAACAACTCTTTTTGTCATGGCTCCAGTCTCATTTCCTCTGAAACTTCTTGCCATGCCAAAATCAGATATCTTCGGGCTCATATCAGTGTCTAGCAAAACATTGCTAGGTTTAAGATCTCTGTGGATTATCCGCAATCTTGAGTCTTGATGTAGATAGAGAAGTCCGCGAGCAATTCCATTCATAATATGGAAGCACTTAGGCCAATCAAGCAGTGACCCCCTATCTGTATCTGCAAAAATCAGAGCTTATAATAGGATCATTTCAAATATCCAAATCAAAGATCAGATAACCAAATCCGTCTGATGATTGAACTATTTCAAGAGATGATTCATGAAAATCCAAGTGCGTTAAGAGTTGAGAGAAGTGATAACCAACCAAAAAGGAACCAATCCAAGCTATTGTTAGGCATGTACTCATAAACCAACATTTTTTCTTCTGCTTGTATACAACAACCAAGAAGCTTCACAAGATTCCGATGTTGGAGTTTAGCAATGAAGATAACCTCATTCTTGAACTCATCCGTTCCCTGTGCTGAGTATCTTGAATTTCTCTTTACTGCAATTTCTTGTCCATCTTTGAGTACACCCTAGGTTTTCAAAGACAATTTAGTTGAATGAGCTTCTCCAGAATATTTGACTGACAAATAATAAACTAGAGCTTGATATAGTTGTTTAGTTAAAATAGGAAAATGACAGATAAATTTTCTTACCGAAACTTGTGTTTTCCTTTTAAAGGCCCGGAAATTGTTTTCCAGGCAGTTAGTATTGATACATATATTTGTAATTACAATTATTGTCAGTGGTAGTTAATCTGTTAAATAGCAGTTAGTTAGAATTAGCCTCTAGCTTAGCTGTCAATTTTAAGTCAGTAAAGATAGGTTTAGATATTTTGTTCATATTTTGTGTATATATATACTTTGGATATTCAGAAAATTGATTCAGTTAAGCATTCCACCAAATGTCTGTCTCTCTTCTCGGCAAATCGCCATTACAACAAAGTCAGATTATTCATCACCGCAAGCACTCTCGCTTAACTGCTACTTGTCTTTGCTTACTTACTTCTAAAGCAAGCCAGACTGAAGACAGTACCTTTGTTCTTTTTCTGGGTTTCCACGATAATTAACTACAATTGGTATAAGAGCTTTTTATTCTTGAGGGACTTGTGTGTGTTCATTAATCTGTTTTAGTGAATTACATGGACGGAGAAGCAATTTTTTCTTCAATGGCACCACCAGCTTTTAATGGAGAAAGTTATCAGATCTGGGCAGTCAGAATGCAGACATATCTAGAAGCTTTGGATCTCTGGGAAGCTGTAGAAGATGATTACGAGATTGTTCCCTTACCAAACAATCCCACAATCGCGCAGATTAAAAATCACAAGGAAAGGAAAACCATGAAATCAAAGGCAAAAGCATGCTTGTATACAGTTTCATCCACCATCTTTACTCGTATTATGTCCCTGAAGTCAGCAAAAGAGGTATGGGATTATCTCAAGACTGAGTATGAAGGAGATGAAAGAATTCGAGGGATGCAAGTGCTAAATTTAGTGTGTGAGTTTGAGCTGCAAAGGATGAAGGAAAGTGAAACCATAAAGGAGTATTCTGACCGACTTCTTAATATAGCAAATCGAGTCAGATTGTTGGGTTCCACTTTTAACGATTCAAGGATTGTGGAGAAAATCCTTGTAACAGTACCTGAAAAATTTTAGGCTACTGTTACAACCTTAGAAAATACTAAGGACTTGTCCAAAATTACATTAGCGGAGCTCTTAAGTGCTTTTCAAGCACAAGAGCAACGACGTGTAATGAGACAGGAATGAGTTGTTGAAGGAGCCCTATTAGTTAAACATCAAGATGATGGAAGAAACAAGAAGAAGCAGAACAAGAAGATACAAGGACAAAATAGTGAGAATTTTGCTAAAAGCAAGAAGGCTAGATATCCTCCTTGTCGGCATTGTGAAAAAAAAAGGTCACCCTCCTTTCAAATGTTGGGGGAGACCTGATGCAAAATGCAACAAGTGCAATCAACAGGGTCATGAAGCTGTAATTTGTAAAGCCAAATTTCAGAAGCCTGAAGTTGAAGCTCAAGTTGCTGATCGAGAAGAAGATCACCTTTTTGTTGCAACTTGTTTCACAAGCCTAGATTCAAGTGAAAGTTGGTTAATTGATAGTGGTTGCTCTAACCACATGACATCTGATAAGATTTTGTTCAAAGAATTGTGGAACACTGAGACAAAGAAAGTTTGAATTGGAAATGGTGAGTGTCTTGCTATGAAAGGCAAGGGCACCATAGCCATTACCAGTGGCTCTAGAACTAAGCTTATCACAAATGTTTTGTATGTTCCAGACCTTGATAGAAACCTTCTCAGTGTTGGTCAATTAATGGAGAATGGATTCAATTTGTTCTTCAAAAACAAAACTTGTGTGATAGAAGATCCATCAGGCGATGAGATATTCAAAGTCAAAATGGAGGGGAGGTGTTTCCCGCTCAATCCTTTGGAAGAAGAGCAGACAACTTTCTTATGACAGACAACTCTACAGAAGTTTGGCATAAAAGAATGGGTCATTTTCATCATCAAGGTATGATGTTCTTGCAAAGAAAGGAATTTGTGAATGATATACCAAGATTGCAGAATCGGTGGACAGATTGCCAAGCTTGTTTACTTGGAAAGATGAACAGGCTGCCCTTTCCCAAAACAACTTGGAGAGCATCAAAAAGGATTCAGCTCATTCATACAGACTTGTGTGGACCTCATAGAACACCATCTTTAAATGGTAGTCTTTACTACATTGTATTTATTGATGATCTAACAAGACTGACTTGGATTTTTTTCTTAAAATTCAAGTCTGAGGTAGCTGATGTGTTTTGGAATTTTAAGGCAAAAGTGGAAAATCAAAGTGGCTGCAAAATTCAGACTTTAAGGTCTGATAATGGGAAGGAGTACACTTCAAATCAGTTTAAATTACTCTGTGACAAAGCTGGTATAGAACATCAGCTAACAGTCCCTTATACTCCACAACAAAATGGAGTTAGTGAGCGGAAAAACATACCTATAATGGAGATGACTAGGTGCATGCTACATGAGAAACATCTACCAAAAGGGTTCTGGGTGGAGGCTGCCAGCACTGCTGTTTTTTTGCAAAACAGACTTCCTTCTAGATCTGTAAAGGATAAAACACCATATGAAGCATGGTATGGTCATAAGCCCTCATTGCAATTTCTCAGAATTTTTGGCTGCTTGTGTTTCTCTTATATACCACAGGTTAAAAGAGATAAGCTTGACAAGAAGGCAGTTCTTGGCATCTTTATAGGCTACAGTACTGTTTTCTCCAAAGCATATAAGGTCTATAAACCTCAAACAGAGAAATTGTCGTAAGTAGAGATGTCCACTTCATTGAGGACCAGCACTGGAACAGGGAGAAGCCTGAAAACAATCCACCAGTTGACAGTCTATTAGATCCAAAAGATCTAGTAGATGATCCTCCTGTTGGAGGCATGCGGTGTTAGACAATTGGCTTTTTTTCCAGCTTATTATTTTTACTGTTTTTTACTTATTTCAGTTTAGTGCTTCCTATTTTCTAGCTAGACTTAGTCAACTTTAGTTGCTCAACTTTCTGAAGTTAGTGGCCCCTTTAATGGATGTTAGTGGCCCCTTTTATGGTTGTTAGTGGTACATGTTCTTATTTAGTTTTAACATCCACTCTGTAAGTGGCTACTAGATAGGAAATGGTTAGGTTTTTCCTTGTATAAATTCAAATCTTATGCAAATTAATACATAGCTGGAATTTTATAAGTTCACTCTATTTTTATTCTTCAAATCAGTTTCTTGAGTATTTTTGTTCTAACAGTGGTGTCAGAGCCTCTAGTTGATCTTACAGGACCAAAAAGTTTTAACCTACAACACAAATGACATCTAACAACCTACCTTTAAATCCACCATTCACTTTCACCGGTGAAAATTACCAAATCTGGTCTGTGAAGATATAAGCTTTTCTGGAAGCCTATGAACTTTGGGAAACTGTGACGAAAGATAAACCACTTGCTGCTCTACCAGCAAATCCTACTTTGGCTCAAATTAAATCCAACAACGAAGAGAAGGCAAAGAAATCTAAAGCCAAGTCGCTTATGCAGAATGTTGTGGCAAATTCTGTGTTTTACAGAATCATGGCTTACAAAACAGCAAAAGAGGCTTGGGATAGGTTGAAAGAAGAATATCAAGGCAGCGATAGAACACGTCAAATGCAAGTGTTGAACCTGAAAAGAGAGTTCGAGTGCTTGAATATGCAGGACGATGAAACAATCAGTAAGTATGTTGATCGAATCTCCTTAATTGTTAATAACATTAGACTTGTTGGTGAAGAATTTACAGACAAACGAATTGTGGAGAAAGTTCTTGTGACTCTTCTTGAGAGGTTTGAATCTAAGATTTCCTCTCTTGAAGAATCCAAGGACCTGGGCAAACTTTCATTAGGTGAACTAATGAGTGCTCTTCAAGCACAAGAGCAAAGGAGGACTATGAGACGGGACAAGTTCACTGAAGGAGCTTTCTCTGTACAAAAACAAATATTTGGTAAAGGAAAGCAACAGGTCAACCAAAAGAATAAGGGCAAGCATGATGGAGGAAATAATAGTGGAGATGTGAAGCAGAAGTTCCCTTCGTGCAAACATTGTAAAAGAACTACACATCTGGAGAAGTACTGTTGGTGGAGAGTCGATGCTATATGCGGCAACTGTAAGTAGACGGGGCACATATCCAAGGTCTGCAAATCAAGAGCAAAGGCCTCTGGTGCTTTGCAAGCACAAGTAGCAGAAGTTGCAGATGCACATGAGGAGCAACTCTTTGGAGTTTCATACTTTTCAATCAATGAATCCTCTGATTCATGGCTTCTTGATAGTGGTTTCACACATCACTTGTGCAATGATGCTGAAATGTTCAAATTCCTCAATGATACATACAAATCTAAAGTTAAAGTGGGAAACGGTGAGGCAGTAGAAGTCAAAGGCAGAGGTACAGTGTCTATCTCAACAATATCAGGTATCAAAACTATTCTTGATGTTTTGTACACACCTGATATGAGTCAAAATTTGTCGAGTGTTGGACAAATGCTTGAAAATAATTATTCTCTGCATTTTAAGAATCGTGAATGTGTTGTTTCTGACCCTTCTGGAGTAGAATTATTTTATGTCAAGATGAGCAAGAGAATGTTTTCAGTTGATTGGGAGAAAATAACTGAGCATGCTTACACTATTACTTCACAAACATGTACAAACCTATGGCACAAAAGGTTTGGTCACTTCAATCTGAGAAGCATTGTAGAGATGAAAAAGAAGGAGCTAGTGGAAAATATGCCTGAATTTCTTTCTAATGCTCAAGTTTGTGAAACTTGCCAACAGGGAAAGCAAACAAAATTGCCATTTCAAGCAAATCAAGTATGGAGAGCTAACCAGAAACTTCAGCTCATTCATACGGATGTTTGCGGCCCAATGAAAACAGATTCATTGAGTGGTAACAAATACTTTCTCCTCTTTATTGATGACTACACCAGAATGTGTTGGGTTTATTTCATTAGACTGAAGAGTGAAGTCT